TTGAATTCCTTTACTTATAAACAAGTAATATAAAAAAGAATTTAAGCAAAATTCTATTTAGGCAACTAAGAAAATTTTTATTTTTGTAAATTTTTATTAAATAATTTTAAAAAAATTCTCATCTAAAACTAAAATCAATTATTTAATTTTAATGAATAAATTAATATTTAAAAAAAAAAGTGTATTAACATCAAGTTAGACCACTAAACGTTTTTAAAAAATGTATTTGAACTGGAGTGGATAAATTAAAAAGTATTTCATTAACGATTGAATTTTTTGAACAAGATATAGGGAGAATGTGAACTAATAGTAGATATTAAATATGGATTAAAATGATTCTCCGTAAAATCAAAATTTAAATTTAATTTCTTTTCTGTCTGAGTCAAACCCATGAGTCACTTACCCATATAAAAGTAAGAAAAATGAAGAACAAGAGAGTTTTGACCATGTTTCGAGATTTTTGATCATATTTTGAGAGTTTTAACCATATTTCTAATGTTATAAATGCGTATAGTCATATACAAATCATGCTGCATTTGAAATTAAACTAATTTAATGTTATAAAAATACGCTGTTTTTTGATTTTTCAACGGAATATTTAATGACTCAATGTTTACTTCTCGATGCTGCAATAATACCATTTTATACAGAATATCTTTCGCAATAGTAAACATTAAGGATCAGAAAAATAAAGATTATTAATTTTTTTTTAACAAAATTATTTTATCCTTCTCAACGAGAGAAAACATATACCTCCTCGTTTTTAAAATTGTTATAGATTCTATAATTGTTTTTAAAATAACATAACTTAGAGGGTTTGTTCTTTTTAAACATCATTAAGCATGATGACCCAAAAACTGTTTTGAATAATATATAATCCACATGGCTCTGATAAATAATTCTACCCTCGATACTTCTTATGATTATATATATTGTTTTAGAGCGAGATAATTCCAAAATCAGATATAAAATTATTCATTATTGTTTCTGTAGTTTTATTTAGTCTTAATATCTTAATATAAACATTTGCAGATAATTAGTATTTAAAAAGCAAGTGATAAGAAGTTTTCTTACTTACTTAGTTTCTTGCAATTCTTACTTAGTAAAATTTCATTTCGTTTTTAACTCATCCCTATTTAATGAATGAATTAATATGTGAAAAAATTGTATTAGAAGCAAGTGTTATTCACTACCACTTCAAGTTCAAAAAAAATATATTTGAATTTGTGAGCATGAATAAAAAGCGATTATATTAAAGATTGAAAATTAGAACAATAGTAGGAATTGAAAAATTTTTATAATTATTTTCAACACATGAAGTATTTTAAATGCGACAACATGTCTTTTTTCACGAACTTATATATCTTACGAAATAGTTGCTGTAAAGTTTCAAGGTATTTATTCTGAAATTATAACTAGAAATAAAATTTAAAAAATTATGATCATTTGCAGTTAAAAATAGAAAAAAGCTTTTTCTATCGTTTTATTGTGCTTTTAATTTCCGTTGCGCAAAGCTTTATTTGATGTATACTATGTATTTCAAAAAAAATTTCATCCGACTTTGCCAAAAAGCAAAAAGCTAATAGAAAGCTAAAACAAAAAGCTAAACAGAAGCATCTAATTTTGAACGATTTTACCAACTAGATATCAATCATCAAAACTAATTAATAATAATGAATTTGAGCACATTTTTAAGAGATCACACAATGCATCAGTGTAGGAGTAATTTTTCAAATTTTTAAATATTAGAACGCAAACAATTTTCTATTTTCACAAAATAGTTATTTTTTTTTCACATTTAGCGTCATTTTAATAATTAGCATGCGAGTGCCCTAATGGAGCTGCTTTAGATATCTGTTCCATTTATCATCGACTGTTACTGAGAGTGTGTAATCATTTTAAATTCCTATGAGGTACAAGTTTAATTTAGTCCAAACTTTCGCATTCCAAAGGAATCGGACTTTTTATCTTTCAAAATTGCAACAATGCGACGCTTATCTCTTTCCAAAATTCACTTTCGGTTTCAGTGTTTATCATTAAGACGCATTAAAAAGAGATTTTATCGTTTTACTGATAGCAATTTCGAATGAAATGTCAATGCATCCGCAGATAAATAGCGCTATTATTTCTATTACAAAAAACAGCTTATCATCATAATAAACACATAAAGCATAGCAATGTAAAAAATCTGAATTGAATATCTGAGAAATTTAAAAAATTTCTAGCAATTTTCCAAGTAGTTTTATTACTTTTTTAAAAGAAGGCTCAAAACGATGAGAGGCTTTCCATAGATTTTATTTTGTATTATGAAACAAGATTTATTCAAATTAAAAACTCCTTCCTAAAATCTGTCTTTATTTTTGACGTTTACTTTTTTTTTATGCAATCATATCTTGCTCTCCGATTAAGATAGGATAGCGCATTTTGCATACTAAAAAAATAAAATAAATCATTTTGAGCTTTCTTTTAAATAGTCATATATATATATAAATATATATACATA